CATACCATCTTTCTCGCCTTGATTGCCTTGTATGGTGTGTACGGCTCTTCCTGGACGGTTGACTCATGTGAATATGTACCTGCCGGGGCCCTATTAATCGAATTACATCCTGGACAGAATGTGCGGGGTGTATTTTAAAGGTCGCATAAGGCCTTCTAGTGGCATCTGATACGTACATGACCTCTAGTTCTCCATCTGTGTTTGGTAGGCCCAATTCGCCGATCTTTTGGAGTTTAATTGAAAAGATGCATGTATCTCTTTCCTTATCTTAAGGAGATGTATCTAGATCTAGCCTGAGTGCATAAATCATATCATGTGATTGTTAGACTCAGGTAACTGAACTGTACGGTACATGTATGCAGCCCATTTGGCCTGTGCCGATGAACAGCCACCTTATGAACCAGGCGGACCAGTGGGGCCAGATGGGCGGACTCTCCTACCGAATTGTGGGGTAATGCAGGGGCGCGGTTCGCTGCATTTACCGATCATGCAGTTGATGGAACCGATGGAGTGTGGAAAGACATTGTGATGAGCAAAGCTTACTTTTTTAGCCTTGTACGCTCTCAGCGGTAGGTACGGCGTTCGTGTTAGAAACGGAAACAAGGCTGAACATCGGGAAGGCATGTCTTACGTTCCTAACATGCTGTCCTACCCCTCCTCAAAGGTGCAATTCAGCTCACACTGACCTTGATCCTCCAGACAACATCCAATTGGTTTTGAACACAAAGGGACGCGAGATCTTTCATGGTGGATATTTTCACAACTCCGCGGACGACATCCAAGCCCCAGCAATCAAGCCTCCCCTCCTTCTTTCTGATGGAAAGTCTTCCATTTCACCGGGCGGGTGCCAGCAGCGAGTATTCTCATCATACGGATCCCACGTACACGAAATCCGTCCTAGAGTATATGATTGAACACACACCCACATAACAAACGCAATAATCCATCAACATTCTTCGAGCATAGACCCCAGGCCTGTGCTGGAGCTGGATGACCGATGCGCCTGGCAACGGCTAGCACGGCCATTGAACCCGCATCGCATGTGAAATTGGAAGATCTGCTATACGCACATGTGAGTTAACTCTGGGATGACACAGTGAGTACGCTTGGGGGAGGTATTTGCTGGCCTGATGCCCTATGCACTGAATCGCCAACGCTGCAACGGTCTATTCCCCGACAAACAATCATGTTTAAATGGCTTGCGCTATCACAGCTAAAGAATGAGGCTTTGACTTAGGTAATTGGTTCTATCGATACTCCAGGCGAATATATGGTGTTGCACTTCACATGGTATCACTCGCTATCAAAATGTTCGTTATCCTTTCTTCCGCGGCGGGGTACCTGGATCACATAGCTAGGTGATACTTACTACACACCTGTATAACCAATTCTCCACTAACCCACGACTGATTACGTGTAGCTCTACAAACTTGCAATCCAGGTGTCAATGTTACCCCAACGGAAGTTCTTCGCTGGCTCTGCTCGTACCAGGGGAGCGTGCATGCACAAAAACAGGATTCAACTCATATTTTTCTATGATACACTAACTTTTGCTCGATACAGGGGTTAACTACGTACTCGATAGGCACCGTTATAACTGAATAAAAAGCAATTAACGTATTTCAAAACTGAAGGAGTAGCAGAATTAACACCTATAGTTTCAGCACTGCGCATGCATATATCAGCTTGACAACTCATGACTATGTATTCAAAAATTTCTACGCGTCTTATTATTTGGTCCTATGGGTAGTTGTTTATGGTGCATATATTCTGCCGTGTGCAACCCCCCATATCCGTCTCTCCCGAGCGCAGGAACACGAAATTTATACCAGCGCTGACATTTAGTGGGCGCGAACCGTTAAAATTATTTGATAAAACCTATAATATGGAAACACACTGTCCAGAATCCTTCTCCTAGGAGGAATATAGCTACCTATCTCTCTAACAGCATTTCCTTTATCCGGAAATGCACAAAAAATTATTTCGGGCGAAACCGAAACAAATATCTTACCGACAAGTCCTCCTATCAAATGATCTTCTAGCGGATTCACAGGACACAGGTATCTACATGAATTTATTCTACATGGCTATACTCGGCGCTTCCCTCGAAGATTGATACACACTTATAATCTCTTCACTTAAGTCCGATGGCAGTAAACTGAGCGTGTTCTTGGCAACCCGGCACGAGAAGAGAAGCTGGGGCTGACGACTGCGCGTATGAAACATCTGAAGTATCAGCATCTTGACTGCATACTACTTACTTAAGGCCAGTAGAGTACCGGCTCTATGGGCGATAAGCTAATACAGATACGCTCGTATTCTGGGGTGGGTTATGCATGCAAGTCAAGGGGGAGCGATTTTTGAACAGATGCTCTAGATTTACTCAGGCATCAACATCATCATCATCATCATCATCATAGTTCGAGTTATCTGATGGAGACAAGCACGGTGGCAAACAAAATGGGGTTAAATCAAGGTACCTACTCATCCTGCAGGGGTTCACCAAGTGCGGCAGTCAATCTGGCATCATCTACATAGATTATGTAGATGATAGAGTACTAGAGTAGAAGTATTAGTCGTTGCTTTTCATTTTTCGTTGCGAAAAGAAAAAGAAGCAATGTCTGCGCTTAACTATATTCTACATTTGAGTACTCTATGTGTTGGGAATAAGCAAGCTTTCAACCTTTTCAACCTCGGCTCAGCCAGCTCCACTACTTCAGCTCCCAGCTTCGGTACCAGGTGCAAAGAGCTTACTAGGTGCTACCTCCGAACCAGCGGCCTCAAGTATGGTAGCGTAAAAAAGAAAAAAAGAAAGAAAAGAGATCCATACAACGAAGAGATCCATACAACGGGGAGATCAGGTGCTCATTTTCCTGCAAGGGTACCTCTATCCAACGGTAGAGGTTAAAACGTCAAAATGTCGCCGTTGGTGAATTATCGAAATGCTGGACCTCTAGAGGGTGTGTGTGTATGAGCCAACCTATCATGGAAAACACGGGTGCTTGTCGAATCTCTGCACGATTATCGTGCCGGATCCAAGGCAAGAGCCGGTGAAGTGAGTAGTGATGGGGTCGAATTTAGAACAACGCGGCACAGGGATCAGAGGAGCCTCAAAATCGTTGTTCCGTTCTTACTCGCTGTGTTCAAACGTATCAAAAGAGTACCACAGCTGGACGCAGAGGTGGGAGATGCGGCAGAAGAGAGAGGGAGATGGAAAAAAAGATATTGGCCCGAATTGAAAGGATCGCGGAGATTCTTTAATTTACACAAGTTATCGAGTTACCAGCAGCATGTATGTATGATGTGCAACGTGGAAGTGTTTCGTTTAGGCATGTCCGTCCGGGGACCTCTCTGGCTAGGTATCTACGTTGGAGCCTCAATTCTCATGGATATCAATTGAATCGAGATTTTGACCCGCGGCAACTCATTGCCGGCGTCCTGCTTAGACCTCATACGATCAATTCTAGGCAGGTACTCTGGAGCACAGGAGTATATTCACATTTACGGAATTCAGAGAGGCTCATGAAACGTGCATCTTTGGCGAGGAAATTGTCCAAAGCAATGAAAAACCTTTCAGGGTTCACAACATATGCAGTGAAATCAGATTCACAGAAAGGTCACTGGTGCGGCTGGAGCGCATGAAATTTTCCATGACTTGCGGCTCTATAAGAGGAGGTACAATACCAGACTAGGTACTCTAAATATCAGTTCCCTTTTCAATAATATATTTTGGCGCTAGGAGTGGAGTACTGTCGTTCACGGGGTATTGGCGGATACTGGGTGATGGCGGACAGGGCAAAAAAGAGACAGCCAAGCCAACTTTTACCTGCAATTCGCCAATACCCAGTATCCGCCAATACCCCGTGAACGACAGTACCTAGGTAACCCAATCTATCCTCTTAGCGCATCTGGCATTGAGTCAGAAATCCTTGAATGGAGTTTGTCACGCTGCAGGTTGCTGTATTGTCACGCCGGATAGTACCATATCCATCCATGTATGTGCGAATAGACACACACTCTCTCTACGTAAAGTAAATACCTAAACGATGATGAAATTCTATTTTGAAATTAACGGCCTCTCCTCGAACCAGATCCCCAATTCCAAACAAATGGTTCAATTGAATCCGTTTCATTTGTCCACGCCGCACACGAGCAATTAGTTACATAACGTGGATTCTAGCCGATGAAGCAGTGATAAGCAATTCACACCGATCATCCACTCTATCTGGCGTTGAACCCCAGATAGGTACTGATGTCACACACGCTACACTGATGTTTCTTTTTCAGAGTTCAGCCTTGCGCTATCCAATGGTCAAATGGGGACTAGCCTGGACAAGGATATACAACATTGCGTGAGTCACTCTGTCTTTCCTACATGAGCACTTATTTGACCAGAGATCAGATGCATGTGGTACTTTATGTACTGACCTTAATACAGACCAAGTGTCCAAACAAAGGTCCTTGGGACTTCTTGGCTCAGATATGGGGCAAGTATCCTCTCCCTGTGTCTTTATTTTAGCAGCAGAAGAAGGTAGTAATATTATATTACGTTGAGGGGAGTCTGGTGATCGACCCGGTCTATCCAGTAACCCTGCCAAACTCAATCTATTCGCTTTCTTCCAGAAGGATTCCATCATAGGCGATAAGTAAAGCGAGAGGCCTTAAAAATAGGTAGGTGGAGTATGTAATATTATGCTTTTCTGTGGGTTATGTGACTAGCTGTGCATAAGTCGCACTTATCTAAGGTCACAGCAATGTGTGTGGTAGCTAACTATCACAAGGCACCGGAGAATATTTGGCACCCCCCCCCTCCATACTGAGAGGACAGAGCTAGCAATCAGTAGGTATAATAACTTCCGCCTTCCCCCTCCTCCAGACCGTTTTTATTCTCACATCACTATCAACTCAATCAACTTACCAGCTCCTCAGTTCCGAACTATCAATTCGAAAAGAAACACTCAAACGTTCTCATCCTCTCCAAACCAAATCAATAACCAGTAATGCCTGCCACTACTACCTCCTCTCAGCCAATGCCAATTGCCCCAATCAACACCGCCCTCAGAAACCGTTCAGATTCAAACGGAATGGGATCTCCCACATCCCTCATGTCTAGCTTCCCCGGCTCTCCTCTCACAGCGGTCTTCACGGAAAGCTCCCAGATCTCCGGCGAAGAGCCCTCCTCAATGGCCGCCTCAATCGCTCCCCTCCTCACGAGCGAACCGCCAAAGACTACCCGCGCTCATACTCTCCACCACAGTGACCATATCCAGACAATCGAGCCCCGCAGAAGCGCGGAATCCCTAAGGTTCAACGACTTCAGCCGTGGACGTCACAGCAACTTATGGCTCTTCCGCGGTTTGTCGGTGAGAGGAGCATTAAGAAAGATCGTTTCGGTTTCGAAGAATTAAAAAAAAAAGCACCTTTTTTGGTTGCTTTGCGCGAGACGATACGATACGATACGATATGATCACTTGTAACGATAAGACGACGATGCCAACGACCGTTTGACCACGGTTCTACTACATTGCGTGGAGTTTTTTTTTTGCGATTTTTTGGGTTTAATTCCTTTTTACGATTTATTTTTACGATCGCTTTTGGTTTCGAGCTTTCCTTTTAGTTTATTCTCGCGCTAGGGTTTTCCGCTTGAGTTTGAAGATATCTTGTATATAGTATTATTATCACGATATGGGTTATTTAGGGTGTGGAGTTTTTCGTTTTTTACCTCCGTTTTTTCTTTTCTTTTCATCATGTGGCCCCCTGGGAAGGGAAGAGATCACGATGCCTACGCAATTTCTTTTGTCCGTTTATCATCAGGAGATGAGTTTGGGGAAGACCTGGGAGGGTGGGTGGGTGAAGGGTGGAGGGAACGGACTGATAAAGCTTAATTGGCTAGAATCGGGTTAAAGCACAGGGTTAAACTGTAGCTTCTCGCTGGGAATTCAATTAAAACAATTTTTCTTACTGCAAACCACCACTCATCATCAGTTCGTCTGTATGCGTGTCCAAATCCAAGAAGACCTCCCAAAACCCAAGATCCAGCACACAGCACACACACACATACATCCACATCACCCCTCCTCATAATACTCACCCACCATATGGCCATACTTACCCTACATGATGTATTATGCAGCTCCCCTGCGGGCTCTGCATAAATTTACTTAACCTGTGCGCACTTTGTTAACATGTCGATAAAGTACATGTACTTAATGCAATTCGCACCAACAACCACCACGCCGCCTGCATGCCTGCTCCACGATCCATATGGGAGGCCAGACTTCAGTGAGCGAGAAGCGAACGGCTGGTGCGACTCATCCCCACACCCATACTCCAGACCTCTCTGAGAGAGCTATCGTTGCCGGTGCTGAATAGGGTATGCACTGTCTTACAGCTTATCACGAATCGAAGTGCCCACCTGTCCATCCAATCTCTCTCGGAGCTGTTGCGCCGGCCCCTCCGGCTACCAGGTCTTTCTTTTAGTTTATTTTTCCTTTCTTTTATTTTATTTTTCCTTTCTTTCTCCGCTCTCGTCTGGCTGGCTGGCGCAGACGGCTTGATGTGATGCCTGCATGGTCTTGATGCATAGAGTAACGAGCAACTTAATTAAGCTTACGTTGACGCGTTCCTGGGGTGCTTGCTTCCCTTGCAACATGTGCGGTCTTTTAGTCGCGGCGCGGGACTGAGGGGGAACGCCGAGCGCTCGAGCCCGTGTGCAGCGGTGGTGGTGGTTCCTGTTTTTCTTCCGAACTTGGTTCTCGAGCGTTTGACACCGGGTGAAGTTTGCGCGACACGTTGTTTCCAATGTGTGATATCCACTCCATTGAGTGGAGCTATGATTCTCAAGAAAACATTGTTACATATGTTATTCAAGTAGATTCAGAGATCACGCTGCCGTCAATACATTACACGGCGGTTGAAAGCGAAATTTCCCGAAGCTTTTCGCAGAGCTAAATCCACGGAGCTCCTAAACAGAGACCGTAGTAGATAGAGCAGGTGGTGATAGGATCCGGATGTTGACAGAGGTTGCAAGATGCAGGCACATATCATCGACTCAGGAACCACAGCACACTTCTTTCCGCTACCATGAACATACGCGAAGCTATGGGGCACCATACAAAGAAAAAACGGTGTCCTCAAAAGTCGATACACCGACTACCTATGGTGCGAGAAGACTTAGATGAATTGTTTCTCCAAAAGGTGTGGCATCCTCGTGCAAAACAGGGCGCTTGCCCAACGGAATAAAGTTTACGAGTAAAAATCAAAACGTACGAGAATGATGCACATATATATCTGCACCTATTATTTGAGCTTAGAAAGTGGGGTGCAAGGATAATTAGAGTAAGAGTGATGTCCACATACGTAAAGAATATATGTACCTTGGTAATAGGTGCCACGCAACATGCCTACAGGACTCAGTCCGTAGAGTCAAGTGCATAGAGTATTTCAAGTGAGTATTGAAGTATCTTAAAGATATTATTAGTACAATCAGATCAGCAGGTCATCAGTCATCACCACTGTTATCTACCCAAGAGTAAAGATAGAGGGCATGGCAACACCAATCCGCCTAGCAGGAAGACGTTCAAAGAGTGACCGGCCCCGGGTAGGCTTTGCAGGGTTATTTGGTTGGGATACCGAGCTGCGGGGAAAATAAACACGATAGGATGTGCACCTATCAAATTAAAGTAACTTTCATAGGTGTTGTCACGACTGATTACCTAGGTAGCAGTTGCTTCATGCCAACCATTCCTGGAACTGAGTCTTGGAAATATTGCTCAGCTTCGGGATGTTCCTATCCCATTTATTATTTATTAGCTGCCTGCATTAGTTGGTCTAGAGTTTAATAGACGGAAAATCTACATGAACGCGTGGAGATACCTTAAAAGCGACGACTTCAATGTGACGTATCAACTGATCAGCTGAATCTGCAAAGGATTCGAACGTCGGATTTTACCGAGATTCACCATATCTGTAAATTAGTAGGTATCGTACGAAGAAAGATCGAGCTGGTTACCAGTGAGACTGATAGTACCAAGAGGTTAACTGAACTGATCATCTAACTATTTAGTTCACATGGTGTGTTTCACAGGCTGAAGAACATCGCCTATTGATTGTAGCTACCAGAGTGCAACTCGAGCCTGAATTATATTAATAATCAAATTTCAGTTACGATCGATGGCCACGGTCAAGTTGCAGGAAACGTGACTGCACATAATGGCACGGAATAGCACAGTCGTGGGTGAAACTTTACGTCCCTCCCGCATGCATGCGTCAAATCCGATATCTCATGCCGCCGGTCGAAATTGTAAAAGTCTAATGTCGAAATTATGAGTAGCTTCAGATTGATCCGATCTGGCGGAATTATTTTATTGTAGTTATAATTATGAGCCGTTGTTCGTGTCAAAGAGATCACAGTAGCATACTAAAGGTGAGTAATTATGCAAGCCACAATAATTATTTCTACACTTCTACTGACATTAGCCATAGAAAAGAGTCCCATGGTCCAGAGGGTAGAGTACAGGGACATTAGCATCGGCCCAACCAGGTGGGCCGGGACCAATGTCTCTGATTTCGACAAACCTCCGGTTAGTCTTCTTACATAGCGGACACATATGAGGAGAGTAGAGTGCTTGGACCGTAGAGTAAGGAACCAAGTAGGTATATTATCTTTGCATTAGCATGCATATACATATGCCATACCTACTTACATCAAGCCAGAAGATTCGATCTCGCATCTGCTTTCCACCAACCCTTAAGCTTTGAAAGTTGAGTAGGTATGCTCTGAAGTGAGGCGGTCGTTAAAGATTCTTGTCCCAGGTTTTCTGGCTGAGCGGCAGCAGTTGTCAATCAATGGCACTTTTTGACTGGAAATCATATGCGCCTTTAGTTAGTGTCATAACGAGATACAACAATAGTAAAAATGCCTCTATTGGATGTGTTGCACCTTATGTGCATGTGCTACTAAATCTCCCGAACCTAAGAGTGGCCCATCGCCGACAGCCGATGCTTTGCCAATCGGACTTTCCTTTGCACAAAAAGACAGCGTCAGTTATTATTCTACTATAAGGGAAGTTTTAGAAAAAAGAGATGCAGAAGGGGCGTCTCAACATATCAGATACCTCGGATATTGATGTATCGCGCGGCGTCCCGCATCACACACGATCTCTACATGTAGTCATGTGATATCACTCGGTTCAGTTTCTTACAGTTGCAAGACATTTTTCCGATTTTCTCATAGGATAATAGGGAAAACCACCGATCGGTTTAATCAAATAGAATTATCGCATTTATGACCGAGAGATAGAGGAGGTGCCTCGCGTGATAGGTGTGTTGGTTCTCCGACCCCTGTCGAAAGGACTAAGTTCAAACCAGCCAGCAGATCTTGTTTAAACATTTGCTTAAAAAGATTGTGTTGTTCTTAATTAGACTACTACACTGAGTATTGTTTAGCGTAGGTAACAAGCACTGTGTCTGATTCGCCAGCTGCGAGTGGAGGATACTTGTACCATCCTAAAAGTACAACCCCAGCTGGCCAGAATAACTACCGTACCAAATTTTCTAGCTGTCAGTACCAATAAAAATAGAAAATTTGAACAAAGTGGGATTATTAATCTGTATGTAGCCTATCACAAAATTTCTCCCCAACACCAAATAGGCATCTTACAGTACCAAAAAATATGTCAACTTAGCAGGGCTTTAGACAAGATAGATGTCGTTTGCATAAACAGAGGAAATCGAGGTTAAGAATAATGAAAGAATGGCTCCAGTAGTTAAGAGAGATGAAAAAAAAACATGTACTGTCTTTCCGAGGTAACATGTGTCCTGATGGAAATGATAAGTGCAAGTTAATACTATGTATATAGCAGGTCACGTTCATAGCTCTAGATCCAGGCTAGCTAGTTCGACCAGAACACGTAGACCTGGTTCTTCCGAGTAAATTGGGGACACATTGGCGCCAAGGCGAGGCGGTAAAAACATAAGAGCTAGATCGCTGGACTATACCGTATATTAGGCACTACTCGAGTCATGTACGTGGGTGGGGGGGTCACAATCAAACAAAAGTTCCTGGATCGAAAGCTAACAACTGAATATCATCAACTGCAGTACGTATGGTGTAGTCCGCCCCATTTCGGAAGCTATCCAAAACCGTGTCCTTGTAGGAGGGCACGAGTGGCGAAACTCATACCTCTGCTTTATTTTTTTCTGCATGCGGCATGCCTGAGTTATTACTCCTTGTATGTAATTAAATACACGAGTGATTTACTGTGATGTATTTATAATTCTATCATTAACATTACACAATGATTAATATAAATAGAAATCTAGAATCTGGTATTTCAGAAAGCACCTACCAATTGATGAGTATGGCTGAATTACACTGAAGGTGTGACTCGTTGACGTGCTCTTTGAC